TCCAGCAGTTGAGCGGCAGCTGCGCTCCAATGTGGATGGCACAGTTTCTCACCCACACTTTGGGCAGAGCTACCCAGGCACTTGGGATGCCAGCGGACTTGCAGAAGCACTTGTTCAACGGTGTCAGCTGCACGGCTACATGTTTACTCGTACCGTTGCAGATCTTGGGTCAACCCTTGCTGCCGTTGAGTTGTGGCGTTTGCAGCTGTATTGGGTGCACACTCAGCAAAGAGGGTTACCAGCCACGCCGCAGGGCCCCGACTGGGCGCAATGGCTGAAGCAGCCGTTGGAGTATAGGCCTGCAGAGGGGAGCGTGCAGTTCACGGTTCGCGTTACCGCCGCTGCATGCGCCGGGCTTAACCAAAGAAGCTCACATCCAGGACTCGGCGTTGTTGCCTTCGCCTTTTGCCACAACGTGCCCTTTGGATGACGAGATGTGCTTCGCAGCCAAACGCCTTTTGCCATGGGAGGCGGAGTTGGTCGCACACATGCCACCTTCATTAAAGTCAGTAGCTGCGGAGCGAAGGCCTATGTTTATGCTTCCTTCCCCCCTGCTCTGGCCAGACGAGACAAATCCCTTGCGGTTTGTCTCTGGCTATGACATTGTCGGTGATATTGAGGTCTCTGGCCTCTTTAGGCCACTCCGCGTGGTGGATGACAGCGCACCAACTGGGCTTGACGTGCTTTTGGGTGATTCAGCACGGTCGAAATTGCGTGACGTGTTCTCTAGGGTCAAGTCTGGCGAGCACGACGAGAGTCTGCGAGATATGACACTGGATGAGGTCCACCGCAGGGTGCTGGCGCCCGCTTGAAAGATTTGTTCATGCAATCTTGCGGGAAACTTCGGTGCATCGACAGTGGTAAAAAGCCTGGGCACAATGCCGCAGCTAGGGAGCGTGAAGTGAAACAATCTTCACTTGCAGCGTCGATGTGATCCCTGCTTCTATCCTGGCATATCCTGGCAGTGCGTGCGCAGGCAGCCCAGCTATGGCCGCCCGAGTCGGCCTGCCCTTTCGTGGACTGGATGCATTTTGTTCTAGGCACAGAGAACATGAAAAACGCGTACCGCCAGTGCCCAGTAGTCCCGCGTCACCGCTGTTGCTCAGTGGTGGCCTTTTGGGACCATGTTGAACACGATGTGAGGTTCATTATTCTGAGCGGCCTTCCGTTTGGCCTTTCCTCGGCAGTGCTCGCATGTAATCGCACGCCCGCTTTGCTCACCGCCGTTGCCAGGCGCATGTGTGGAGCTATGACTGCGTACTTCTTCGACCATTCTGGGGTCTTAGACATAGCAGTTGGACAAGGGTCAGCGCAGGCAGCAACGCGTAGCACCTACCAGTTGGCAGGAGCCCTGCTAGACCCTGCGAGGTCGCAGTGCCCCGCTTCTGCCCGCACATGTCTTGGCCTCTCAATCAATGTTGGCCAGGCCGCGACCCATGGCAGAGTTTCTGTGGACTTGACCTATTTCATAGATGATGTTTTGGAAAAAGACTTCCTTTCATCAGGCACAGCTGCTAAATTGCGCGGCAAATTCTCGTGGGCAGCTTCTGGAACCTTTGGGAAAATGTGGCCGTGGAGGCCAAGCCGCGCTCGTGCGTCGAAAATATTTCGACAAGCGTGACAGTTTGGACCCGGCCTTGCGCGATTGCCTTTGGTTTCATAGGCTCCTCTCTGAGTGGGTGGCGCCGCGGCAAATCGACCTTGCGCTGAAAGCGCCCGTGTCAGTGTGCTTGTACTCGGACGCCAGCTTTGAGCCTGAATCCTGCAACCCTGCTAGACTTGGTTGTGAAGCCTTGTTAGGTGTCGTTGTGCCACACAACGTGGGGCATTTGCTGTGTCAGCAAAATGTTATTTGGTACATCGACAACCAGGCAGCGTGCCAGCTGCTAATGAAGGGTACACTCTCACACACCTCATGCTTGCGCGACTGGGGTGCCAAGTGTACTTCGAGTATATTGAGTCTGAAGCTAATCCGTCCGATGGATTGTCACGGGCAGGGCTCTTGGACGAGTGGACGCACGCTGCAGCAGGGCTGGCTGTTGATGCCAGCAGAGCTACCGCCTCTCTTTTACACAGGCTTTAAGCCTTTGGCTGAGGCTGTTACTTTGATCTAGCATTGGGAAGTTATCATTGGGACTTGTACTGCTGCCATGACCTTGACTTGCATTCTGATCTCTTCAGCTTGCTTGGTGCGTGTGTATGCACGTGCTGCGCGTGCCCAATGCCTGCCTCCTTGTAACACCACCAGTCATAGACATGCAGCCAGCTTTCTTCATGAGAGAAAAGCGCGAGGGGTTGCAGGCATGAGTGTTCAGCTTCATTGGAATCAGCTTGGCCTGGCTGGGATTGGCAGGCCAGGCTTTACATATAATCAGAGGCCCCCGTGCCAGCCGTGCCATCGCACTTGCATCACCTTGCGCCGCTTCAAAGATCCTTTGCATGGTGGCGCAGCGGGACTTGTACTGCTGCCATGACCCTCACTTGCATTCTGATCTCTTCAGCTTGCTTGGTGAGTGTGTATGCACGTGCTGTGCGTGCCTAGACATGCAGCCAGCTTTCTTCATGAGCGCGAGGGGTTGCAGGCGTGAGTGTTCAGCTTCATTGGACTATGAGCCCAATGCGCTAATCCTTGGATCGTTTTGGATTCAGCGCCTCCATCCACACGTGGTGCCTGGATCGATGTGTGCAGGCGGGATCAGCCGCTGGCGTTTTGTGGAACGGGTGGACAACGGTGCACGCTCTGTTGCTGACTGGAGGATTCTTTGTAGCAACTGCCCGTGCTTTTAGCGAGTCCGTGGCGCCTGCCGTCTGGATGTTTGGTCACCAGCTACACACCGCATGGTGCACCTTCACTGGCGCCTTCACAGAGCTGGAAGCTCAGAATGAGGATCTGACTAGAGCCCAAGCAGTGATCAGGGACACATCAGACGCGGCGCGAAATACTGCTGCTGTCTCACAAGGCACAGCAACGAAAGATCCCCAAGGCTTGCCATGATGCGCGCGAATGGTACGAATACCAACTGTGTTTTGTGGCCTGCTGGCGCAGAAGTTGTCAGAGAGCAAGCCCACAACGGAGGATGTTGATGGCAGCCTCAAGCGTGTCTGGCTGCTCGAACTGTTGTTGCCGGCAGCGGCGCACACGGAAGCTGCTTTATGAAGCGTGGCAGCACTAGGTATGTGGCCAGAGTCTCTTCAGCCGCCAGGCATGACGGCTCACTGGTCACTGACGGAATGTGTCCCAACCTTGCCACGTGTCGCTTCTCAGCCTGATGCCGTGCTCTCCCTCTTTTCTGAAAGCTGCGCGGACCTTGACGGTGAATGTGCTGCTGAGCCGCCCAGGGTACGATTCGTCAAGCGCGGCTTGGTATCTTTGGGAGACTTCGTCGGCTTCGCCGAGCCAGAGCGTCGAATTGGATGCAGTGTCTTGCTCACCCTCTCCATCCTCACACCGGACTTTCCGCGAAGAGCAACTCCCCCCTCTCCCTTTTGCGCGCGTTGTGATGCTCGGTGTCTTTCACCCCTTCGGGTTGGGCTCCTCTATTTCAGACACGTGGTGGTTGGCAGGACTCACTCAGGCAGAAAGACTAAGAGAGTTGCTTTGTGCTTTTTCGGACTGCGCGTATTCGCGCTTCAAAAGTGAGGTATTTCAGCACCGGCGCAGGAAGTTTAACTTTGAAACTATGAGTCGGATGCCAACTTTCGCATGTTGTGAGCACGGTGTATTGCAGCATATTGGAGTCTATTGGTGGAAGCGGAATATGCACTGTTGGAATCGAGCTTTGTTTGGAGTGTCGTTGCCTTAGGGCGAACTGGTGGCGAACCTCTTCTGTAGTTTTGTGTCCCTTTATAGGGTGTCTGGCGTATCTGCAGGGTCCCTCCTGGCTTACTTATTTACCCATGGATGCTTTGGCTTGCGGACTGCGCGTGTCTTGCTGAGTCAGTGTTTCTCGCCAGGGCCTGGCAAGTATAGCAGGGTTTTCTCAGCTGGTTGCACAGTCTCTGATGCACCGGTGTCGACTCGTTTTGCTTTGTCAGCATGCTTTGCAGTCTCCGTTTGCCCTTGGTCAGAAGTACCATTTCCGGTTCGTTGGGCTTTGCCCTGGCAATGAGCCGTGTCCCGCTTTCGCTGCGCACGGACCCGGCGCACGTGTCATTTTATCCCCGCGGAAAAAACTGGTGCTACGCGCTAGGATCTTCCTTACTGCGGCATGGATACCATGGCGGTGGCTGTGTTGGCCCAAGAGGATATGAAGGAGAGCACAGAGGACTACAGCTATGTGCTGTGGTATCACGATCGCCATCATCGTTAGCGCCCTTGTGGTTGGGCGCGTGACGCAGAGTGTGCTCAAGACGGGGAAGAAGATTCTGACAGATGCCGGAACACAGACCCTGCGCAGGAGCACTTTGAGACCTTCACCATGCAGAGCAACACTACATTACAAGCACAGCTGCCTCTCCTGAGACGTTTGTGAGAACTAGGACCGGTAGCTGTTGGTCACGCAAGAGGGGAAATAGTATACACCTACGAGCCGCGCAAAGACTGCGTGGGCTAATCCATAACTCCGCCGGTAACATCACCAGAGCAGAAGCGGAGTGATTTTTCTGTGAACCTCACGCGCTGTGCTTGGAGGCGCCTTGAGCGGATCATAGCGGATCAAACCAGTTTCTTGCGAATCCCCCTGTATTCAATGTTTTAGCATGTTGCCCGCCCAAGGGCTTAATAAGTATGACGCTGAACAGCCTGAGCAGCATGTTTTCAATTGTGGCTTCAACATCTTCAGGGCGGCCCAGGCTCGAATCGAGCCTGAGACCTTGTAGGGATTTAGGGGCTCGGTTTCCAAGCTACTTTCCATCATTTTGAAACAAAGTGCTTCTCCAGCATCCACCACAACAAAATTGGCAAGCGTGAAGTTCAGATTCTTGTGCGTTCATGCAAAGACGTAAACGTGACAGAATTCAGGCTGCGCGCGGATAGATGTCCACATTCATGCAAAGCCGAGGCATCCACGATTTGTTACATAGTGCAATTGATCGAGGCCCGCATCACGTACATGCTACATGTGGCTTCTGTCCGGGCCTGTTCGCTTGTGCAGATGGACTGCAAAGTTGCACTACTGTTGAGCTGCGGCAGGATTTCCTCCTCACCGTATCGTGCTTTGTGGTTTCAGCCAAGGCTAGGCGGCTTCACGATGGGAATATTTGGCGTGAGTACACGACAAGCACACGAGGCATCTGCAAAATCAGGACCACGCTAACAACCACGTTCACACATTTCCAGTTAGCTCCGTGCCTAGGACATAGGAGCAAATTTCAGTTGTTTGGTAGTCTATTGTCAGTTCTGGAGGACACGGCGCCCACACAATTTCCTCGCAAGACGGATGTCCACCCAGTTTTCTACGTCCCCTTGCCCTTGCCAAACAATTCATTTTGTCCGTGGGTCACGTTGCCAGAAGCGCTAGCAGAAACAAGCAGTCAGAAGGGGTACCAGACGTAGTGTGTTCTCGAAGCCTTGGAATCCACTCCAACTTGAGCTTCCAGTGAGCTGTATAGGAGGCGGACAAGTGGGTGGGGTCTCCTTTCCCAGGCCCATGCTTTTGTTCAGAGCTGAAGCCATACGCAAAGCTGGACGTCACGGTCAAACGCGCCAGTGAGCAACAAAAGGGTTGTAGTTCAAAGCTTGCTAGGCAGCAAATTCACAGACCGACCCATGGCAACCTCCGGCGCAGGTGGCACACTGGCCCTGCAAGCCGGGCTTTCTTTCCCGTCCAGCTTGGCGGGCATTTGTACCGTAGCCACCCCCTCAGTGTCGGGGGGAAGGGCGACATTTGGTGACTTGAACAACCAAGTCGTGCACTGAGGAAGGTCTTCAGGGTTGCATGACAAAAGCGTATCCACTTCGTGGAACCTACCGACATTGGGCAAATTAAGCCTTTGACCGCCTATGTAGTCTCAAGAACGATGCACATCCATTGGACTGGATAAAGAGTTATGTTTCCGCTCATGGACAAGAACGTTTTTGCGAGGTGTTTTTTTGAGGGTACTCTTTTTGGGATGGTTTTGAAAGGGCAACAATCTATGTTGAGACAGCCCCATGTGCAGACGTGCGGAGTGAGGGAATACGTTGAGTGCCAAAGCCAACAAAGGACAGTCAAATCACTCCAGAGTTCCATCGCAAGGCCGGCTGGACATCTGCCGACTTGCCGGCGAATTCGAAGGAGAGCCAAGTGCCCATCCTCTTGTGCCACGGCAGCGAGGATTCCATGGTCCCCATCCAGGTGGCGCGGAACAGCTGCTGCTCGGCTCGCTGAGCTCCTGAGACTTCACCTGTGTGTTCCTGGCGTCGTTGAGGCGCCGCCTTGACGAAGGCCGGCTACAAGAACGTGAACCTCGTCACTTTCAAAGGCGCGGGTGGATCGGCGTCTCAAAGTTTGCATATTCGGAATAGCCAATTTGAGTAATGGGTTCTGACGCAACCTGAGCGCGAGGACTGAGACACCAATTTATCACGATGCAATTCCAAGACATCATGGACTTCTTGCATCAGGTGATACCGCAAAGACTGGACTCGCCCAAGACACCGGCGCTTGTGTACCTCAGCTTATTATGGTGCTACAAGATCTATGCACGCAACACGAGAGAGCAGTAGAGGTTGCTGTTGTGGTGATGTAGCTCTCAGAGCGCCAACTCGGCCATTCTGCGAATTTGGGGGGTTGTGGAGTTGGGCAATTCTGATAGGAATGACAACTTCATGTTCAGTGGATGGGAGTGATTTGGTTTTGCGCTTCATGCAACTTCAGGACATCGCCATGTGGATGCGTTGTGTGGATGCATGATGCCAGCATCGTTGGGGAGGTGCAGGAAGAGGTGCTGGCTGAAAGGCCGGTGCGCAATACAAAGGGCATGGGCTGAGTAGGCCCGCAGAGGTTTTGCATGTTGTATCATGTGATTTGGCGCAAAGTTACTTAAAGTTGTTCTTTTGCAGTCCTTCTAGTCGGCTGGAGGGATTCGTTGCGCAGGGTGTGGCTGTCTCATGCGATTGGATTCAGACCTGCAGGCTGCAGGACAGTTTGCCTGGGGTGCAGTTGATTCTGCAGACCCTGCCACCACAGGAGGAGGCGGATCTGCTGCGTATGATTGAAAGGGATGCCCAAGGTCGGTCTTGGTTTGAAGCAAGCCAAGAGAGCACGCGGCTCATGTTCCCATCACGCGATTGTCGGGGCTCCCTAGGTTTGGACATCCCACCCTGCAGCATACGAGGGGGGGGGGTAACCTGTTTCAAGCACACTTTTTGCCGAACCGTTCTTGGAGCACTGTGGCTGTATTGGCCATGTCACTTCTCGCAGAATTCTAGACATCAAGTCTGGAAGCTCTTCATGCGACCTGACATCCGTGGCCAAAAGCGGCAGGGCCGAAGCTTCGGCAAGATCTTGCTGCAGGAGGTGACATTGCAGCTCCAGAAGGCCTCAGCAGAAAGGATCGCTCACTTCCACGCAAGCGGGTCACCAACTGGAGTGTTTTTTTTACCCACAAAACATAGGTTTACTGTTTTTTAGGGTTTGGTTTTAGGCTTTTAAGGTTTAGGTTCAGGGTTGTTAGGGTTTAGGTTGAGGGTTTTTAGGCCTTAGGTTTGCGATTTTCAGGGTTTTTAGGGTTGAGGTTTTGGGTTTTTTAGGGTTTAGGCTTAGGGTTTTAGGGTTTAGGCTTACGTTTTTTGGGGTTTGGGGTTTTGAGGGTTTAGGGTTTGTAGGGTTTAGGTGTAGGGTTTCCAGGGTTTAGGTTTGCTTGGAGCTGGCTGTCCAGTGCATCCGAGGCTGGCTTTTCTGATGCAGTATAGAACCAGGAAAAGTCGCCGCGCTCCATGAAGGGGGTATGGAGCATGGAGCTGGGGTGGGGCCCGGGGGGCTCGGAAGTGCGTTTTTGCTGTGCCTGCCACGCTTTTTTGGAGGTCTCGGGGACCCGCTTCCGGGCGGTCACGGGCAACAGGTACGTTTTGGAGAAGGTGTGCTTTGCAGAATTATTGGCTTGGCGTGCTGTTGGCTTGGAGTGCTGTTGGATCACAGCGGTACCCTGGGCCAATCAAAGCACTGGTGATTGGATGATAAGGGGACGGCACACATTGATGGGTAGACCGGAGTGTTTCTGGCTCACGCGCCGCCCCAAAGCCCCTCACTTGCTCTATGCCCTTCCTTAGGTTTGTCTTTTCTTCGGGGAACACGAAAGCGAATGGTTCCCTTTCGTATTCCGTTTGAACAGAATAGGACAACTGCAAAGAGGGCTACCCTCCAAAAAAAACAAGGGTAGCCTCAAAACCGCCACACAGCGGACCCCACCCCCCCCCCCTCAGTTCCCCTCACCGCGAGCGGCGGAGGCGGGGGACCGGGGCATTGCGCTGCCCTCCATTGTGCTGGGAGGCTTCGGGGCTGGAGGCACTGCTGCGCTGCTGGGGCTGTTGTTTCCGAAGCTGGGCGGCCTGGTGCAGCTCGGCCAGTGAGATGGGAAGGATGGGATGGCATTGGGGGGATTTTCGGGGGGGGGGGGGGGAAGAATGGGGAGTGCAGGTTGTTTGAGCTATCGGATCGGACAACGTCGCCACTTTTTGCACTTCGCAAGAAGGTGATCCCACCCAACGCATGGTAAGCAGCCCCGCCCAAGTGATCCATCCCACCCTTCATATGGTAAGCACCCCTGTCAACGTGATGCCACCCGAGAAACCTTCTGAATGCCACCGGTCAGTATCCGAATGAAGCTTAGGAGCGGCGGTCCGAGAGCGAAAAAACAAATGTTGAAAGTATTTGATGGTAGTGCTTTGACAATATTCATAGACCAGAGAGGGGCACCGATCCCAACAGAACGAAACATGTTGGGTCTCCAGAAACATGTGTTTCTGAATTACTGAAGATGGCTGCGGCCAAAAACATTGAGAATTCTCATGCAAAACCTTTGCGCAACATTCAAGAAAGGTGTCCAAGGACGCCACACAATTATTGCGAAACCGAGGTGCGTGATTCCACCGTCTGCCAATGTTTTCTATAAAACGGAGCCAATCGTGCGCAGGAAGCCCTTTTGCTCTTGAAAATGCGTGAATGCGCTAGGCAAAACATGCAATCACGACCGACGGAAAACGACCCGGCGGGTTGTTTGACCTGTCTGCATGTCTGGATGATCACACTGGGGGGTAGCTGGGGTGGCTTTTAGAGTACAACTTGACCAGCCTTGATTGGGACAGCTGCTATGTCGTGAAGAGTAGCTTCCACAAGTCCAGTTGACCCCAGGTCCAGCTCTGGCTTCATTGCAGACGGATTTCCAGAGCAGGCTTGAGACGTGGCACAATGGAGCGGTAACTCGCAAGTTGCCCGCGAAATTTGCTGAAAGATGCAGGCAGGTGCCGGTGATGACCAGCTCATTTTGCTGACGCACGGCATCGAGGATCGCTTTGCGAAGTGGCAAGGGCACCACTGCTTCCACAGATGGATTTGTGTTGCTTGTTGGGGTACCTGACTGGCAGAAGTGGGGAACCATTCAAACAGAGGAGAGCACACTCATGTTGGGTACAAGTCAGGTTTGCCTGTGCCGCGACATGACCTGCGGACTGCAGTTCTTGTCTCAGGACAAAGTCGTTCCCATCGAGTCAGCTCGGAAGCAGTGGCGCGCATTGGAGGCCCACGGCTATCGCGGAGCGCCTGGCCGAGAGGGGCTGCCTGCCACATGGGGAGCTGGGGGCATGCAAATTCGTGTTTGTGATTTTACGGGTGACAGCTCTGTCGGTTCGGGCCTGAAGTGCCTGGATTCGAGCTTTTGCATAGGGCCCTTGCTGTTACCAGTCGTTTGTTCCGGCTGCCATAGCACGGCGCCGCTCCCTCAAATACGGTCGCCTTTGCTGAATTGGACAAAGGTGACCTTTAACAGCTTCACGGGCCTCGGCCACGAGTTCACCATGGGCGTGTGGGACCACATCATCGAATTCGCAGCCGCGGCGCTGGAAGGTCCGCTTAGTGCCAGCTGAGCAAGTGACAGGCCGCTGAAAGGGACCCACAGGGACACCAAACGCCAGCGTAAAATACGCGATCCTTATGAGCCATACCCAATTCCAAGCAGTTCTCTGTCAGATCTTTGGTCGCACCCTTGGTCTCACACCGAAGCCAAGCCGCTCCCACCAGTGGAAGCTCTGCATGCGTGCATGTGTGAATCCCGCGCGCGGAGCCCGGCTTGCCTGCGGCTTTGGCGGGAATGGGCACAAGCGGTGATGCCGCAAGCTGGCAGACCAAAGGGTAGGAGGCGATGCATGTCTTGATGTCGCTTGATGTCTGAAATTGGCCGCATTTCACATGCATTCGTTCATTATGACATTGAGCAGAAGATTGCTCGAAGTTGACAGACAAGGTTTGTTCGTGCTCCTGGATATTGACGAGCAAGGCGTGCGAATTCTCTTTGCAGAGTTGGAGAGGCAAGCGATGGACTGCACGAGCAGGCTACATCGACGTGGAGGAATTCATCGCAGGATGCTGTCGAGTTCATGGTCCGGCCAAGGCTGCGCGGGCAATGGAATTGTGAACCTGCAGGTTTCAACCTCATTGACTACACGTTGGGGCCATCATTGACCACATCTTATGGCCATTGCCACGCACGATCTGGTGAACTGTTCAGACACCCACCCACGCTTGCACGCGCGCTTGCACGCACTTGGAATGGAGCCTTTTGTGCAGGCCATCGACCTCACAACTCTGATGTGCCAGGCTCGAGGGCATAGCATAGTGTCGCATTGCTTTGCATCATGCAAGTTGACATTCCACTTGATACGGGGATTTCAGCGCAGGGTTACGGAGTCTACGGAGTCCTGTGATTTTGTTGCAAGTGGGCCGTCAAGTGGGCTGCAGATTCCAGCCAGGGCTCCTTGCCAGGTCAGAAAGTTGCACCTGGAGCTGCGTGAGCATGCGACCTATGTGCTGGACAGCGCCGCCGGTTTCTTTTTGCTGTGACGCAAGGGCGACGCCACGACGCCTATAGATTGCGGTTGTATTTGCCTCCAACCATACAAACAGCCGATGGTATTGGTGTTCGATACACTTGAGAGGCTGCATGTGCGGTTTTGAGAGCTGAAATAGTTGCAAGTGATGGACAATGCCATGGACTCGCATTGAGTTTTGCAGGAGTGCCTGTCGCATGCTGGCTTGGCCACTCCGGCAGCTCGGCGAAGCACAGATTTCCATGGACAGGTCTCGAAATGTCTCGAAGGTGAAAGTGGGGTGTTTTGTTGGGTTGTCTTGGGTGTGTTGATTCCGAGTGAGGTTGCATCTTCCACGCTTGGAGGCGGCCACTGGGCAGCGACACGGACCCCATTCTTGGTGTCGACAAAGGGAGAGACATATTTCGGGAGCCACCAAACGTTTGCCTGAAGCAGCACAATCATTTCTCCGCAGATACCTAGAATATGTCGTTCTATGCTCATCCATCTTTGATCAAGCATGTCTGTTCGCCTAAGCCGGCCCAAGCGAACGGCTCGTACTGTCAATGTCACATTTAGAAGCCTGCAAAGAGAGCCGAAGCTCAGTGTAGTTTCACAAGCCTTGCCATCCACAGCCAGGCAGTCCGCGGCATCGCCGTCAAAGGCGCATCCTGCAGATTGTGCACAAGGGAAGCGGAGGTTGCAGTCAAAGCTCATTAGGCAAAGTGGAGCCAAGAGAACTAGGCAGTGCCGAAGTCGTCGTTGTTTTAACGAGGTCGTCCTCGTTTGTTGATGTTGTTGCTGCCGTTGCGGTTGCTGTTGTCGCCCTTCTGTTGCTGCTGCGCCTGCTGTCGTCGTTAGTGTCGCCCTGCTACGATAAGGCCTGGCTTGCTCTGCTGCGCACCTTTGCTGACGCACCCTGACAGGCCCCCGAGTTTTCATTTGACGCCGAACCCGGAGCATGCGCTCGCAGAGGCACGAAAGATTGCAAAGTGGAACTGGTTGCGAGTTTGTCTGCTAGTGTTGTCTTATGTGATCTGTTTCTTGTGTAGTAGGTCAGTAGGTGTTTGCAGTTTGAGACTCTTGTAAGATCGCATAGACTCCTCTGTTGAAAGGCAGGATACGTTCAATGGCGACAGCTTCTGAATGCATGAAGAACGGTCTTTGCATATACCAGCAAGACTGCTGAAGCAAGAAGCGGCTCTTGCCTGGCAGCTTGGGTCACGAAACGGGTCCCCTTTGTAGTGCTTTTCCAGTACAGGGATTGTGGATTAGGATTGGCCAACGCTCCATTTTGAGCAGCCCGTCTTGGTTGGCCACCAGCTTTGTAGCAGAACATGCGCAGGTTGCAGAGGAGTCACCAAGCGCGCACATGTCAGACTTTCAGCTCGACTCGTCCAAAACTGAGTTGCAGCAAAGAGGAAGGTGGACACAGCAACAGCTTAACCGCTGGTATGGCCAGCAGATTTACATCCCAGCTGTTGGCCCAATCAGGCTTCAAAAGAGCCTGCCGGCATGAGAAATCAGCTAGACAAGCATGGGTCAAGATTATGTCAACGCACTTCCGGGGCATACGCCTTTTCGCGACCTGTTTGTGTCAGGAAGAAATACGGTTTCCCGCAATCAAGTGAATGGTCTGCTTGTTGCCGCCTACTTCATGTCGCCTGCGGATGTTCTGAGGCCACTATCCAGGGGTGGTGCAGGGAGCTCAGGTTCTGTGTCTTCGCATAGATTGCAACTGGTCACCCACGTTTTGTGGCAAAGACAGATACGTACGCATTGCAGGTCGATTTGTACGGCTTGAGAAGTTCACCCTTTTCAACCGCCCGACAGCAGGTCAGACAGGGTCCGTTTTTGACCACATTGTGATTATCCATGATACATGCTGCTTAAGCTGTTTGCCAGAATCCAAAGCTGCTTGGACATTCCAGGTACGCATCCTTGCATTTTGCAGCGCACAATGGAGCATGGAGAACAGCTGTTGACAATGAGCTGCGCTGTTTGTAGCCGCACATCACCGCTCTTGAGCTTTTGGGCAATGACAATTTTTAGAACTTGTGGTACGGGTGAACGACCTGCATGACTTTCCGGCAGCAATCTTTTTGAAGGGCGAGGCTATCAGAATTATCATGCTGATTTGCGCATTTCTGCGGTCGCCCAAGAAGTAGAGCCTGCTCCTAGGCTGCTAGCAGAGCGAGCTCCAGTACATCTCCAACCCCGGTGCTGCCAGAAGGCGCAGGGCTGAAATGTGGCCATGGGTCAAAATCCCGTACCCCCAGTGAACATCCCAATCCCCACTAAAATAGACTAAACTGGGTGGTGCACCTACCCCAAAATGGTACCATTGGTGTTGACCCACACCCCGTTTTGCTGAAGCTTCGTCTCGATGAGATCGATTTGGCTCAGAGTTGAGGTCCCAAGCTGCAGCTGCCGCTTAGCAACTTGAAATCGGACAGCTGGGTGCGCTCCTCAATCGCCGGGAGTTGCGATAGTTTCAAAGGAGTGCCGCCTTCATACGCTGTCTCCAATGCCGACAACTCGAGGTCAACCTACAGGATTGGGCAAAGTCCACATCCGACCCGAAGATTTCTAAGCGACCTCTATCTCTGTAGGTATTTTTTCGGATCTCGATGAACTGTAGCAAACATTCCCCAAGGGAATCTCTTCTCAGGCTGCCGATGGAACTCTCATGGGCGTGCACAGTAGAGCAGGACAATACAAAAGAGAGGCCTAATTGTGTTGAAACTGAGCAAGGACCTTGCTTCACTTTCCGCCCTCCGGATGTTCTGTTCTGATGTGCTTTTGCCCCATGTTTCTGGGCCTCGTTGAATTGCAGAGTAGCACATCTCACGAGAAATCTCGTGGTGATTGCGACTCCGGAATTCCCCCACCGAGATATCGGTCGGGGGGCCACCGCCTGGGGTGGAAAGAGTCGAATGCTGCGACGTGCGAAGTGCTGATGGGACGGGCTAGGTTGCACGGGCTACGTTGCAAGTAGACTCGCGGTTTTGAGCATCGATGTGGATGGCTGCGTGTTTGCCTCACACTCCTGATCCATGTCTCATTCAGTCGTCCGACTGCCAAAGAGCAAGAAGGCCAGCCAAAGTTGTTTTCGTTTCTCTCGCAGGTGTGTTTGCCCTGCTTGCCACCCTAGCGAAGAACCGCTCCTGCGCAGGACTGCAAAGGGGTCCGCAGGTAGCAGCAGATTGGCCGCCCACATTGATGGTGCCAGGAATTTCAAGGAGTACACAGATCTTGTACTTCCTTGTTTTTGTGACGAGGCCGGCCTTGCCATCGATTTGGGTGTGTCTCAGAACTCCCTCGGTAACCAAACGAAAGTCATCCGTAATTTCGAGACAACCAATTTTGCAGATCGATATGCCCTCCGCTGTTCTTTCAGATACTTGGATCTGCTTGCTGAGCGCTCAGTGACCGGACATCAGCACTCAGACAATGTTGCGTGAGATCCATTCGAAGCGCCGAGAGAAGATGCCCATGGGGCTTGGGTCGGGGCCATTCCTATGAGTCCTTGGAGGGTTTTGAATAGACCTCATGTAAGCCATGCGCATTGCTTGCACTCAATGCATCGCGCTTGTGCTAAGGACAAGACTCAGGCGGTATACCTGGTCTTCTTCAAGATCACGTGCCGTTTCTACCACATCTTCGGCACTTCTTGCTTTTCGCATGGTGTTTTTCTCAACAACACCGGGGTCATGTCATCAACCTTGTCAGGATTGGTGCCCATATCAGGATTGAGGTGCGGTTTCGGGTGTCAACATATCCAGCAGCATCATGTCCAATTCCCTGCACTTGGAAGAAAGTATAAACTAGGTCGTTAGCTGATCTCAGGCAGACGTGCGAAAGGTACATTGTGACATCCATCATTGTCCTTGCCATCTTCTACAAGCTAGACGCCAGCTATGAGCGCCGGAAGGCTTGCTCGATGTGTTTGTAGTTCTCCATGTGAGAGTCGTCCGAAAGGTTCTTGTATTGAGCTATGAAGGGGAGGACCTTTTGGTCTTAGCGTTGACCTCCGCGAAAGTTCCGCGAAGGTTTTTTTTTTTCCGCAAAAGTTTTTGTGTAGGGGTGGCTTGCAGAAGCTGGAGTGGTGAACCATATGTATTTACGGCAGTGCGCGCAGAATCCCCGCAGACTAAAGTTGATCGGAGAATGCGCAGCCTGAGGGTCGCCGCAAGAATACGCCGCTGCAAAAGCAACCCCCAGCCAGCAGAAACCAGCTTCTGGGAGTTTTGAAGCTTTCGGGGCAAGTTGAGCGCAACTTCCAGCCGGATTTTCGCGAATGTTTGGCGTAAGGTCCGCGAAAGCTTCGCGAAAGTCGACGGACCTCCCCGCAATTTTTTCGACATTAGGCCAACGAGTTCTCTCGTTCCTCGTGTGTAGCTCACGGCTTGTGAGCTGGAGCTGCGGAAGCGCACTTCGCGTGCTACTTTGGAACTGAAAGGTTGCGACTTTCGAGCTGGGGCTGCGGAAGTTTACTTTGTGTACTACTTTCGTATTGAAAAGTTTGACTTTCAAGGCTGAGGAAGTTTAGTTCGTGTAGTACTTTCGTATTCAAGCCGGGCAGCGGAAGTTTACTTTTAGTGCCACTTTCGTACTGAAGAGCTGCGACTTTCGAGCTGGGGCTACGAAAGTGTACTTCGTGTACTACGTTTGTGATGAATGGCCTGAAACAGCCCCGCGAAAGTTCCGCGATGGGGTCCGCGAAAGTTATTTTTTTCTCGCGAAGATGGCGGTTTCCGGAACAAGGAGTTTCAGACAACCGTCATGTACCGGCGTGTGCATGGTCGCGTTGTTTGCATGTTGAAGGATCAAGCGGAATGAGTCAGTTGACGGGTTTGTCACTGTGCCACCTTCAGACAATGGTACATCCTGCAGTCATGTACCCGCTTGTTCGGTAGGATAATTATGGAGAGATATCAGTGGTGGAGGATTTTGTTCAGGGGCCACAGTTGCAGGACACCTGCAGTTTGGCAGTCATTCTGGTGCCGGTGAGCATCAGTGCCTTTCTTCTTGCTGAGACGTGCGCCGCTGAAAGACACGCATGCCGCGCACTGACACCTTCAACTTGACCAAGAGATGAACCTAAATCAAAGGGACCGGCACGAGTTCACTGCAGACATGACAGAATTGCTTCACTTTAGCAAATTGCTAGGTCTTATCGAAATGTTAGCCGTCTCTTCCAACTGCTGGAGGTACCAGTTGGTGGACATCCTGTGGACCTTCTCCCAATTTTGCGAGGGATTCGCCATGGCTAAGATCTTATTCTGATGCAACGCGACACATTGCAGCGATAGGAGGAGTGCCTTCGCAGATTTGTGTATGATCATAAACCTTTGTCAACGTTGGACCCCCTCCGAATTGTTGCTGTTGATCTCCCTTTGACATGGACCAGGTTCGTCAGCATGGTGGAAGTGTGGTAGACCTGTGTTTCTGAGGTCCCTCAGTACGTCTTCTGCTACAGAGATAGACAAGCCAAGGACACTTTGAGACAGAGAGAAGCTGACAGCTCATTGTTGTACAGGATCTTGGTGTGACCTTCTATGTGCTTTCCATGGGTCTGTGGCTGAAGATGGATCTTTCATTTGAGATGAGGGCCGCTTTGCCAAGCAGATCCTAACAAATCGAAAGGAGAGCAACCTGTTTCAGGGCTTCCCGGGTTCCCTGTTTTTGGAAACACCCATATTGGGCTTGGTTCGATTTCCAAGAAAATGACCCCTTGAAAGTGATACGTTCGCGACTCAGGTGCCTACCGATGCTTCTATGCAGCGAACTGGATCTACAAGAAGGTTCTCGGGCCATCTCGAGCCGGGACTTTTTCCAGATGACTTGGCCCCTATCATAGGGAGTGTCTTATTTGTGCAGTGCTTCACATTTTGGGGTGCCTGCCCAAGCTTGCACTGGCCAGCCAACGGTTCATTGCTGGCCAATGCGCTGCGTCTCCCTCCAATCTCTCCTCTGAGCGGGATGAACCCTGAACCCCTCAATCCATTTGAACGAATTTAAGGCGCTGCCTTCAAAGGCTTCCATTTCGCCCGCAGCTTCCCGGCCCAAAGGTTTAGTAAAATGAAGGAGAGCCTCACGTGATCGCCTTTCACTGGGCCAACTAAAAACTGTTTGACGTACGCGAGCACATGTACCAGACAGATGTAACGCTCGCGTGCACACAGCCACTGCAGTACCCAGTGCAGTCGTTTGCAATAGTATCCCGCAGACTGTGGCGCCTCTGGAATTTGCGCCTATTGCCATGAGGCGTGGTGTTGTCAGACTGTAGCCACCCAGTTGAATGCTCCGGTTTGCATGCCGTGGTCCCACAGAGCTTGTGTCGTCCGTACTGTGAATAGGGCTGTATCTCTGCAAGAATAAACAAGGCAAAGGCGTGGGGGCCATGCAGCCACAAACAGTGAAACCCGTGGTAGGCATCCGTCATATGGCCAGTGGCCCATGGATTCCGCAAGTCCCTTTGCAAGGCAAGCACGGCCGTCTGCTGGCGTGCGCGCGCTGCCGAAGAAAGCGAGCGCCACACGCAGCTCTGCTACTTGGACCTGGCAAGGCAGTCGCTTCCAAGCCTTTGGACTTTATGCCAAGCAGAAGCCACTTTCTTGCGTGCCAACTTAATTTCTTCCCCTAATAATAAGCATGCAGATCATTGTAATACACATGCAGATTATTGGGGGGGCCTGGGGTGGTTCATGATATGAACTACAGTGCGAGCACTGTTTTCAAAAATCGGTTGGTCGAGGCCCAGGAAGGCTGAATTTCTTAGCGTCCATTTCAGGGGCTATTTCTTAGCGGCCTTTTCGGGCAACGAATTGGCGAAAGACAACCGCGCGATCTTCGGAATCAAACCACTGACAATGGATTCGCGGGTGTTTGTGATGCCACTACACCAGCTCAACCTGCTAGCCTATTGCTGCACTGCGAACGTTCCTTTATCACCCGCAAGGCCGCTAAAATATTGAGCCCCTGAATTCTCGGCAAAGGAGTCCTTGATCGAAATTGAGCCCGAAAAGGCCGCCAAGAAATTTATCGGGCAATTTCCTGCTCTTTATTGCACAAGTTTGCTAAGAAATTGGACGAAACATCCAGCAGGGCTCAATTTCTTAGCAGCAAATCCAGTTGGAACCTACTTGCTTTGGCAATTTCAGCCCTTCATTTTTTTGTTTTGCGTGGTGTCTTCTGCAGTGCTTGCGCTGTATAGCTTTGGTTCCAATACGACGTACACTTTCTTTCCTTCGGCAAACAAAACCCCGTCCGGGATGCATGTTTTGTGTAGTGTTTTTTGATAGTTCAAGCTCCTCTTCTCTTTTGTCTGTTTCAACTGGAGTGAGTAAGTAAATAGGGTACTTCATTTAATCGAGCCTTGTTTTTGCGGAGAAAGTAACTTAGTTTATCATAGGTTGTGGTTCTCAGGGGACCCCGAATACGGTTGGAGTTGGGGACAGTAGGGGCCACTATTCTGGGAAACATAGTACGGGGAGCTTCGTTATTGGAAAGAAGGGCTTACCGCTATCACAGGAAAATGCACGGTTTACTTGCCAGTCTGGGATCTGGCCCAGGTGACAGAGAACAGCTGCGGCTCTTTGTCTGACTACGTGAAAGCTGCTTGGCTCTATGTGAGATGCTGAGAAGTGGAGCTTCAAAGGTCTGTGTGTATGTCCTGCGCGGCTGGTTTTTGGCGCACTCAGAATATCAGATCTCCACAGTTTGTCCAGAGACCACCGAAGCAAATGCCATGAGCAGTGTTCCGGTGCTCATGTGTCTGTGTGTTGTGTGTTTGTTTCATCCAGATCAGGCTTCCGAATTAGGCATTCCGAGGTGCGTTGTTGATTTCCTTCAGGCTCACAACCCTCATCAAATGTGAGGATGAGCAAACCAGCAAACCAAGCCACTAAAAGCCCTGGAGGGATCTATCCTTAAGGTCGAGGGCAGGTCGAAGTTTCAGCAACAGTCCTTTGCATCATCTTCCAAAATACCATCCTCAGCTGTGAACTCTCCAAGATCTGCTCGCACCCGATCCGCATCCGATGAGGTGCGCACGGTGGGCCGGGGCAGCTTCGGGGAAGCGCTGTTGGTGAGACACCGCGCCAGCGGCCAGCTCTCGGTGCTGAAAAGGGTGCGCCTGGAGGCGGGACGGAAATGGGACAGCGGGAGGGGACCGAAAATGGCAGAGAGCCTGGGGCTTTTGGGCCGTTGGAGTGTTTCCACACATCGCACATGCCCACGTAGATGGTGGGATTTCCGTTGTTTCTCCCCTCAAACCTTCACAATGAATTGCTGGCCAGTTTAGAAAACACCCACTTGTGGCCGCAGCTTCAGGCACCTTTGGGGCTTCGGCCGATGCCCATGTACAGGCGTGTTTTTTGAAGACATGGTCTGCCTTGACAAACAGAGGGCTTTGATAGCACAGCGAACGGACTAGAAACTTTCAGCCATCGACGGGAGGTGGTTGGAAGCAGCAGTGATGCGGCAGCAGCTGCGGAGAGCGCTGCCAGGGAAGCGCAGGTTTTGCAGAAGCTGCACCATCCCCATATAGCGCCCTGGACTGCATGCTTGAAGCCCTGAAACCTGCAAGTCGGGCGCAAGAACTTCCCCGACAGAGTGCTTTGTTGGTTTGAGAAGGGAGCCCCACAGCACGGTGAGCTGCGATTTCATCATACCAATTGATGTATTCATGCTTCATAGGTTTCATAATTGTTTTAAGAAACGGCATAACATGCCGATTCCCGCACTTTGTCATGCATGTTTGCAGCTTCACGCGCATATGTTCGTAGCAGTCCAAACAATCTATGACAGCTGATGCTGTCCTTCTGCACAATGCGCCACTGCACTCATTCCATCTCATTCCTGTAGGTTTTATGGGATCACATATCATATCGCTTGCACGAAGCAGTTGCAAGTCGGTTCGATGTGTCAGGCACTCAAAACAGGATTTTGATCAGCACAGGCTTTGAATTGCCCACTCAACTCGGCAGACGTTACTTGGTTAGGACGACAAGAAGCTATGTAGTGATTCAAACGTGGGCCTGTGGTCCTCATGAGCAACATTTGCTGGCCTGTACCGTGGCGAGCCGTCGCCCTTTTCCTTTTTGAATGGCAGCACAAGGGTTTCGGCCATTGCCTTGGGCTTTCTTTTTGCCCAGGTCCAGTTTTTGGGTGCCTTTGTGGATAGCTCCCGGGACGCCTCCGGCGGCACCTTGTGCCTTCTGATGGCCTTCTGCGAAGGCTAGCGGAGCGGGGGGGCGGGGGGGCGGGAGTGTTTGGGGGGGGGGGGGTCAGACTGTTCATGCTGATATTGTTGGCAGAGATCACAAGGGGCAACAAACGAGGACAAACGAGGCAGCCAGGTTCTCAACATATCCCACGGATTCAAAAGCGTGCGGACATATCACAAAGGTGTCCATGCCACTATGGTAGGCACATCAGGCCTCCAATGTGTCAAAGAACAAAGCCTTGATTGTGCCCAATCTTCTGAGGAGAGTGCGAATCCAGCAGGCAACAGAAGCGGCACATGTAGGGACGCTGACTGGTGGCTGAACATTGCATCATGCGCAAAGTCAACAGGCTACTCCTTGAAGCCTGATCGCTCCTTGTTTCAATGGGAGGGTTGGATTATGTGTGCGGCGAAAGATCCCGCAGTGTCATTTCTGACAAGTCTGTGATTTTGGATTCCTGCTTTCACATGCAGGGTTAGCAAGCGTGCTGCATGCGCAACCAGCTGGGCCAAGCAAACACTTGGCAAAGTCCCCTGGCCAATGTGCGATTGTCCGTTTGGCTCTGAGTCGCTGCAATGCGGTTGGCAATCACGTTTTGAGGCGTATGGTTTGTGTCACGTGAGGCGGTGACCTTCAACATCGCCTTCAGAGAGTGCGACAGGCAGGGCCACGGCTGTTAGACTAATTTCGCCTGGGAGTGGTGCTGCATACAATGGCGGATTTGAAGCCTTCCGTGGATGCTGGAAGCAGCAAGATTTGCAGGCATCAGAGCGCTAGGCAGAGGTTTTGCCACGTCAACAAGTCGTGCCTGTGAAAGAACCACTTCGTGCCATTCCATCCATGGCATGCGAAGGAATGCAGGAGGCTACAAGAGCAGCCTGCGCTTCGGTGGTTTGATGAGCTCTGCAGCGCACTGGCTTATGTCCATCAGCACCAAGCGCCTTAACTTAAATGGCATCCGAGTGTCCTGGTGGGCCCTTTGATTTGATGTCGGTCTGACGCTGCTGGTGGCAAGAAGACGTGAAGGTGGTAAAGGTGGTGAAGGTGGCGAAGGTGGTGATGGTGGTGAGTGGCAAGGGTAGCGAGGGTGGTGAGATGTGAGAGTAGAGGGCGGTGATGGGCTGGCGCTGCCGGTATTAATAGTGATTGTGATGGTGGTGATGGTGCTGGCGGAGGTGAGGGTGGTGAGGGGGTGGTGAGGTAGGGGGTGGTGAGGGTGCCTGGGCTGACTGTTAACACTGAGCGAACGATCGAATTTGACACTGAAGATTTGCAAGTGATTTCCTCGAGCACTGAACCATATATGCCAAAACGAGTAAACCGCAAGGTCAAAAGGCTGACTTACCCTGGGCAAGTGATTGAAAATCCATACCCTTGCGTCTGGGCTGGTGCTGCTGGTGCTAGTCGCAGCGGCGTGGCGCTGATAGTGATGGTGGTAATGGCGATGGTGGTGATGGTGGTTGATGGTGGCGATGGTGCTGCGGGTAGTGCGGGTGGTGAGGGTTTTGTGCTGGCGGATTTCGGATCGTTTGTGCCCTCAAGAATCTCATTGGGAATCGATTGTTTGTGCCCGTCTGTGGGCGTAGATGATCCAGATTTGTGGGCGCCGATGATCCGGAACATGGTCTGAATTCCAGAAGTACTATGTAATGAATGCAGTGGGCACCAATGATCCAGAAAGTATGGGCAGATGTTGTAGGCTCAGGTGATGGGCACAGATGGCTTCTCTCAATCGCGCTGAAGCAACCTTCCAAGAATTTGGTGGTCAGGTAATGCTGGCAATGCTGCCAATTCCCGCTGATGATGCTGGCGATGTTGGCGCTTTCTACTCCCCTTTTGTTCTCAGGCACATGTTGGTGACATCTCACTATTTCACTACATGCTTTTTGGGTATTGTGACGAAACGCACACACATTTAATATCGGGCGCGGATGGTCCTCTTGGTGGGGAGGGTGGTGGCAATGTTGGTGGCGATGGTGCTGGGGGTGGTGAGAAGGTGGTGAGAGGGCGAAAATGGTGGAAGACTTTCTGAGTTGGAGACGATTGCTACGGAAGGGAATGACAAATTTTGTTCTTTGCGTGTGTTGCACTCAGTTCAACACAGGCAACTTCTTGGAAGCAAAGGAGACAGGGTGCTCAATCTCATGTCACATGTCTCGCGTGTGTTATATGAGCTTCTTGATGGTGCTCCCCCGAAAACTCAGAACTGCCCAACTGAAATTGGCTTGTAGCGGTATGCTTGAGTTGTGTTGGGCTCGTGCAGTACAGCAAGCATCAACGAGACTGGAACCAATTCTTGAGCTTGATGCGTCCTCTCGCCATTTGAGTTGCAAATTTCAAAGTGGCGAGTCCAGAGCCAAGGTTTTACATCGAGATCTCAAACCCTCCAACATTTTCCTTTGTGGACGATGCAGCGGCAGTGCGCATCACATTAATGATGAGGACTCGGACCGTTGTTTGCCTTTTGAGTTCTCTTTCCGTCATAAGACAAACTATGTGATCCATTCTCCTTCTTTCGTTGGTCATTTTTCCTTTCACAGGAGTCCGTTTCCATTGGCGACTTCGGGGTCAGCCGACCATTGGCCCATGCCATGGAGTTGGTGACCACTATGGTGGGCACCCCCTGCTACCTCAGCCCGGAGGTGGCATATGCACATGCTCATCCACGTGCATATATTCGACCACTGCCAAGTATGTGCGTCAAAGTCAGGGGCTCCCAAGTCCTGAGTGTGTGGTTGCTGTCATTTTACGAGTCCGGACGAGGGCTCCCTAATTGTAAACGCTGCGCGATGCCAATGCCTTGCTCAGAAGAGCTGCAAAATGGGTTGAGCAAATGATGCCGGGGTTGGGCTGAGCAGTCAGGTGGACTGCAGGGGAAGTGATTGCAAGGAGCTTGTTCATGTAAAGCTGGCTGGGGCGTCTGGCGTGTCTGGGGCTCTGGGGTCGGCTCATGGCGGGCTCAGATCTGTGACTGGGAAAGTAGCCATGGGGGGGGGCGCTGGCCAGCTGCATGAAGCTGGCTGGCTTGGGCTTGGGGCTTGGGCTACGGGGCAACCGGGGTGGGCAGCTGTGTTGACTTGGCGAGGTGCGGGGCTGGCTCTGACGGCGTCTGGGGAAAGGGGCCACAGAGCGTCAACTGGCTAGGTCGGACTGAGCTGGGTGCGGGGGTCGGCCGACGATCGAAATAGGGATCTAAATGAGCGCGGTCACAAGCATTCCTAGGTGTGTGAAACATTGGTGGCAACATTGGCTCGGAACCTTGGCTCAAGGAACCAACATAAACATACACAAGCTTGGCAACATCACGTATGCGGGTTGAACGCATGGTTGTAGATCGTTTTCTCCTGATGCATGAAAGAGGCAAGTTGTCTATCCGGTGTTTGCTTTTGGGACTCTGGCTGTGCCATGCGGCGACGTTCGCTGGTGCTGGCCTTGCTTGTGCTGGGGCCAGCCTTTAGCTCCTTGGCAATTCGGCACGCTGAACGTTGACTGGCTTGCATCTTGGGCTCGGCAGGTTGGCTCATTGCGGGATAATTCGTGTCTTTTGCGCTGTTTTGCAAATTGCAAAGGCGCACCTTGCATTGAGCAGATGGACTTGGATGAATTCTGAGGCAGTCCGTTTGCACAACCCTCAAACAGGTTGCGGACAGCTAGGGCAAGGAGAGAGGGAGGGCATTGCCGAGGCTTGCCGAGAGGAGCTCAGCGTTTCCTCTTGGCGCGACATGGGCAGACGACCTTCAACGCGGAGAACCGCTTTCAAGGCGGCAGCATTCCATGCACCGTTGCTACAGCATGTTCATGGAGTTGTTGTTGTCTGAGAATTTATGATGACATTGTGTGTGTGTGTGTGTGTGTTGGTTGGGGTGTGTGTGACCTGTGTGTCTGTGTCTGTGTCTGTGTCTGTGTCTGTCTGTCTGTCTGTCTGTCTGTCTGTCTGTCTGTCTGTCTGTCTGTCTGTCTGTCTGTCTGTCTGTCTGTCTGTCTGTCTGTCTGTCTGTCTGTCTGTCTGTCTGTCTGTCTGTCTGTCTGTCTGTCTGTCTGTCTGTCTGTCTGTCTGTCTGTCTGTCTGTCTGTCTGTCTGTCTGTCTGTCTGTCTGTCTGTCTGTCTGTCTGTCTGTCTGTCTGTCTGTCTGTCTGTCTGTCTGTCTGTCTGTCTGTCTGTCTGTCTGTCTGTCTGTCTGTCTGTCTGTTGTCTGTCTGTCTGTCTGTCTGTCTGTCTGTCTGTCTGTCTGTCTGTCTGTCTGTCTGTCTGTCTGTCTGTCTGTCTGTCTGTCTGTCTGTCTGTCTGTCTGTCTGTCTGTCTGTCTGTCTGTCTGTCTGTCTGTCTGTCTGTCTGTCTGTCTGTCTGTCTGTCTGTCTGTCTGTCTGTCTGTCTGTCTGTCTGTCTGTCTGTCTGTCTGTCTGTCTGTCTGTCTGTCTGTCTGTCTGTCTGTCTGTCTGTCTGTCTGTCTGTCTGTCTGTCTGTCTGTCTGTCTGTCTGTCTGTCTGTCTGTCTGTCTGTCTGTCTGTCTGTCTGTCTGTCTGTCTGTCTGTCTGTCTGTCTGTCTGTCATCGGCTTGCGCACACATTGCAGCAGCTGTGATTTTTGCTCCCAGCAAGCTCGTGATAGAAGCCTTTCCCCTTCTCAATCATGTGTCTGTGCTGTGTGCTATGCAAGTGCGGCTTTCGTGTCGCAATTTCCGCGCGGGCAGGGTGCATGGACGAGGAGCCAGTGCTCACTGCAAAGGGCAGAGAACAAGCCAAGGAGTTGGGGGAGTGGCTGAAGGGACAAGATTTGGATCAGGTCTTTGTCTCGCCCCTGCTACGTGCCAGAGACACACTGTCACTGGCCAAAGAAGTAGCAGGCAGGGAACGCGTCGACGTGTCCGAAGTGGGAAAGTGCTGGGCATGCCGACTCTGGATGACTGTTCTATAGCTTTGCCAGGCGATGCCCTTCCGGAAGCCACCACACTGCGAGAGCTGCGCGAAATCGAGCTGCACGAGCTGCTTGCTCGCAGATGGCTTTCCCAAAGGCCATAAACTGAGGGGCGGTACCTCGCTGGTGACGCGAGTTTTTTTCTCGCTTGTGACGTTCTGTCTTTTCTCGCTTGTGACTGGAATATCTCGCTTGTGACGGTACCATTTTGGGTTACATAAACCCTTGCAAATTACAGTGTTTTGTGTGCGGGATATGGGCTGGGTGACCCTAGTTGCTGCTTTGAAGGCAAACGTGTTGGTTGTTAATTTTTGTCGCAAGTGAGTTGCAATTGTTGCATGTATTTTACAGCACTTTGATGCCCGTGCCGAACACGCAGATCAGCATGGAGCCGGAGACTGGCTACGAAACCCAACAGGAATCCAACTCAACACAGTGATCAGCCCTGACACAGTTCCATTTAGCTCTTTGGGCGCAAGGCAAGGCCACATTAGGCAATGCTACTTTTTTGGTAGAGGGAGTCTTTGGGGAGGTTCGTTGTACACCGCGGACACCCAGGTTGAGTGTTTGCTGTGAAAGAAGACATGCTTATAGGATGCAACTTTTGAGTAGCGACTTAGTTTTTTTTCTTAAACAGCCCATTGACCTCTGTACAATCTGTGACATTATGACTCAAGGCCCTTTTTGTCATATCACTCGCTATGTGCATTTAAAAGGACTTGCGGCTTCACCCTCCAGGTGTTACACTTTATCCAACACAACCAGGGACTGCCAGTATACCATCAATCCATCTGTTTACATCAGGTTCTTACCTGAAACAGATCCAGGGGAGAGATTGTGTTGCACCCCTGTTTAAAGAGCAGGCTGCGCGGGCTCAGTTGAGCGGATGTGCCTATCATGCCCCCCCCCCCACAAACCCCGCTCTCAGGGAGAGAGACTGTCTTGTGAATCGTCGCAAGTGAGTCAGGTGATGTCTTGGGCACAAACTTCCGCTTGATGGTCACGTGGCGCGAAATCGTCGCAAGTGAGTCAGGTGCATGCCCAAAACCACAGCGCCAGCACATGTCTGAAAAGTGAATAGTCGAAAGTGAGTCAGGTTTTAGTCGCAAGTGAGTAAAAACGTGTGTCGACATGAGTGCTTCCCCTAAACGGAGCCCTTAAGGAAGACACGTCGTAAGAAACTTGGCATATTCACTATGAAGGAGATGCCTGGAATTTGGAATTGCTGCTTTGCGAGCAGCTCGTCTGCTGAGGTGGGAAGGGCGGACACAAGTGGAGATCAAAGCTGAGAAACCCGAGCTCATGCGGCAATGGAAGGAGAAGTGGCAGATATGTGCTCAAAAAAGGGCTTTTGTCAGAAGAGAATGTTCTGACCATTGCAACTGTATGCACTCCTTTTGATGAGGCCGCAATGGTTTGTTGGATACGGGCAAGCGGGTGTCACTCGTTCTTGGACCATGTTGATCGCTTTTTTTGGGGGGGGGGTGCGCCACTCTGTGGTTGAGTGGGTTGCCTTTGCGTGAAACTGTAAAAGACCGTTTCCAGTAAGATGAGGAAGCTCATTTGATTTGGTGAACTGGGTGAGTTGCGGATGCATGACCTATCACTATGAAGGCGTCAGCTACAATACATTCGAACGCCACACCTTCGCACTAGCCTTCTTCCAGAATCTTCAAGCATACACCTACACAAGCATCACGGGGAAATCCTCTCTTTCAGTTTTTGATGGATAATCCTCTTTGGCCAGTTTGATCGAGAAGAAACAAATCAAAGCATGCGCAACTTGGCTTTTGTGGCCAGGTCCCAGCTGAACACAAGCTAACATCACATCGCCGGGCAGCAAAGATTGGATGTTGGGTAGACAGCTTGCCCCTGAAACAAGCACAACAAATGCGTAGCTCGCTTTGCTGGTCTAGTCCAAGCTGATGATTAGGTGAGCCATAGTGAGCCCATGGCTGTTTCTGTTATAATGTTTCTGTCCTTTGCCGCAATTATTCTACACCCACTGTGTGCAGAGTTGTCGAAGCTGTCCCACATAAGCATTTGTTCAATCACAAGTCACTGTTCGAGAGTTGCGTAGCATCCACTTGGATTAATTGTTCCAATCGACGTTCAGCCCTTGACGTACCTTCATGTTGAAACAGTGGACATTGCCACGCAAATCGGAATGTTTCAATTTGGATTGTTCAATAACGCCGCTCAAACTAGCAACTATGTATGCTGCTATAGTATGAGCACTGAGGAGGTTATCGTGACATGTGTTTGGCATCGTTTTGTTTAGATCTGTCATATTGCCTTTCACACAGAAGCAAACGGTCTCAGTCAGTTCTTGTGTTTTTGTGCTGTCGAGACGGCGGGCATCCACCCTTTGCACGCCTCTTCACGTTGTATGAACTCTTTAAATCTTTGAGTCGTTAAGGGGCTGTCTACATGGCTGTGGGTCAAAAATCAAAAATAGGTACCCAAAATGGAACCCTGCTAAATGGAAACATGGGCTAAAATCAGGGGTCCCCTGGTGGTGTAATTTTGACCCACACCCAAATTGTTTCAATGGGTGAATCAGCTTGCGCTGCCAGCTCCAGGAGGAGGCCTGGCGGCTGCAGTTGGGGGGTCGCTACGTGGTACGTGACCTGTGGCACAGGGCCGAAGCGGCCTGGGGCCTCATGAGAGAGGCCGAAACCGCGGCGGTGCATGGTCGGAGTAGCTGAGGTGTTTGGGAGCAGTGAG